TTCCCTGGGATTCATTAGTGCTGTGAGTATTGCTTTGCCACAGAGAGGGAAAGGGTACTATTTTGGATACAGTTTTGCTCGTCTCTAAAATGAATAGATACAGCTAGCCTTGATGTCTTGAAGCCTCAAAATAAATTCCAATAAATGAATTTCAGTCTCATGTAGACAGGCAATAACAGTGACTTAGATTTGGACCTTCCTAAATCAAAGCGGTCTTTATTCACTGCATCCTACCCAGCACCATCAGTCCAGGGGATGATTTTCAAACTGCTTGTCTTTATTTGCATTCCAGGTTAGCACAGTCCCCCAGTTAGTGATTCTTGACGCACTTCCCTTTGTGGAGCCTATAGTATGTATTCTGGGTCTCACTGCTTTAAGGTTCTACACCATTGGGCACCTTCCAATTTACTACATGATCAAAGCCTTTAAAAATTGAAATTGGCCCCTATCAACAATTAAAAAACAAAACATATAAATGAACAGAATAAAACTTTTTTTTAAAAAAAGGGACATACAACCCTTGGCCCAAATCCAGAAAAAAAATTAATACTTTTCTCTTTTTTTCTTCTTTTAAGACTATGAAAAGTTTAAGAAAAATGAAAGATCCTTTATTGCAACAACATAGCTCAGAAAAAATTATTCAACTCCATCTCAAACCATTGAGCATTAAATGGATTAAGAAAGCTATCTGTACTCAGGGTAGTCTGGAGAAGCTGGAAGAATAACCAGAACACAGGAGAAACACATATCCCTGATTAGAGAAAGATGGAGCAGAAAGGTTTGCACGCAGGAGAACTTACATAAAGAAAAGCTGGGAGCAGCAGCAGACTTGGAGACACATGATTCAGCAAACAGTCCCGATTATTACATGTCGCCAGCATTTGAAATCTAACAGTAGCGTTTTATAAACATATGCATGGGTCAGACTACATAAACTTAGAGGTAACTGGGGACACAGTGTTAACAAGTCATCCATTTATATAATCAGTCAGAAAATATCTTTCAAGGGCTTATTTTGCGAGAGCCCTATGCTTAGCCCTGCAGACACTATTGCTGCCTTCAAGGGCCTTGGCATATATAGAGGAAATGAAGCAAACAGTAAATACAATGCTGTAAGTGTTCAGATATAGATATGCATAGGCTGTTAGGGAAGCATAGAGGAGTAACACCTTAACTAACTAGAGATAGGAAGTCAGGGAAGGCTTCCTATGAGGTGGCTCCTCAGCTGAGATCTAGAAATCAGATAGGACTTAGCCAAACAATGGAGAGATTGGGGAAAGGTATTCTAGGCAAAGGGAACAGCATGCATAACGATCAGGAGATAAGAGAGAGGGTGGCACCTTCAGGGAACTAGAGCAGGGGTCAGCAAACTGTTTTTGTGGGTCCTAACAGTAAATATTTTAGGCTGTGGGGGCCACATAGTCTCTGTTGCAACTACTCAACTCTGCCATTGTAGCACAAAAGCAGCCACAGACAATATATAAATGAATTAGTGTGGTTCCAGTAAAATTTGATTTACAAAAACAGGATCATAGTTTGCCAAACTCTGAACGTGGGTAATTCAATAAGTATGGAGCATAGAATAGGGAAGAAAGAAGGAAGAGTGGCAGAAGATCAGACTGGAAGATCAGGTAGGTAAGACCAGATCATCAATGACCCTGAGTGCCATGGTGAGGAGTCTGAATGTGACACTCAAGGTTCGGAGGAAAGACGTGATCAGAATTGTGTTTTAGAATGACCATCCTTGCTACAGTTTGAAATGGATAGGAAAGAGTATGGCAGGTCAGGAGACAGGGAGTCCAGTCAGGAGGCTGTACCCTGATCCTGGTGAAAGATAATGGCATGAACAAATGAACAAAAGCAGCCTAGATGAGATGGAAAGAAGAGAACAGACTGAAAAGTGAGTAAGGAGACGAAATTAACAGGGCTAGGTATATGATTGATATGGGGAAATAAGGAGGAACACCATATGACTGTATGCATTATGACTTTTATAAAGAAAAAAATGCCTAGAGTATACAATTAAATTGGTTGAGTATATAGACTGCAGTATTTAATTCAATACTTTAACTCTATAACCTTAGCTTCCTAAGGTTACTTTCCTGTGTTCCTCGGAATATTGCTTTTACCTGCTAACTCAAGACATCTAACCTCCCTCAAAACCCCACAAAACTTCACTTGTGCTCACAACCCAGTCCAGTCAGCTGTCCAGACAGCTACCGCTGGGTCCTGCCACTTTTCTCTTGCTCTGCATCCCCTCCGCTGCCACTTCTGCTGGCACTATTTCTGCTGACACCATTGCTGCTACTCCTGGGTCCTCATGGTGCCAAATCCAAGCCATGTTCCTTACAAAGGTAGAGAGAATCTGTCTCTCTCTATATGAGCCTCACTTTGTCGCCTGGAGCAATGCTGTCTGTGACCAGGGTCTCAAAACAGCTCACTCAGTTGCCACTGGCAGCCCCTTCCTCCAGAAAGATAAGTGTGTACATGTGTCAGGGAGGCAGGCTGACGGCATATTTTCCTCACATGTGCGTACATACATACACATTTGCCCCATGTTGGCAAACTTCCTGATCCAAGATTCTCCCCTCCAAAAATCTCATGAATCCGTCTTGTAAACTGACTCACAGGAGGCCTGCCCCACCTGTTAGCTTATCAGAAGAGCCTGGACAAGCATGACTCCCAGCTTCAGCTCAAGTTGAACTCTCTGCTCTAGTTCTGTTTCACAAACATTAGGTTCTTGTCTGGAATGCATTTTCCCTCCCTACCTGGCTCTCTTTTCCTCTTGAACTCCGCCAGGACTCAGCTTAGGCATCTCCTTCTCTGGAAAACCTTCTTTAACCCCTACATAGGCTGGGTAAGGGGTCCCTTCTGGGTGTTCCCAAAATAATCTGTGCATAACTCTATACTTCCACTCTCTGGGTTATACTGTAATTATTCTATATGGCCTCTCTTCCTATCTGAATGATAAGGTCCTTAATCCCCTAGCAGGACTTGGAACACAGTAAGATCTCGGCAAATGCTTATGGAATAAATAGGTCTAATTCTCCAAATTGTGGAACGTGTAGCCCTTAGAAATTTTGAATTGGCCAGGAAAGACTGCCACTCTCCTCTGCATGGGGACTGAAGATATATCTATTTCTACCCTATTTAGAGAGACCAGGCTCATGGCCAGTTATATTGGCCATTAGTACAAAATTCAAATACTTCTCTGAGTCTTATATTTCATGGAAAAGAAGTGGTGCTTGTGACATTATAGACAAAAAAAAAAAATAATCCTTTCTGGGTCTAGAAAAGAGATGGAAAGGAATGGAAGTATTTTTCTCACCTAAGCTTCCAGAGAATTAGTGTTCTCTCCTATGGTGATAGAATTAAGCAACATATCAGTGAACTGTGAGCTGCCTCTTTCATGCTAAGTGTCCTATATACTTTGAAAATGGTGCAATTAATTTCACAGTAATTTATCTTACCCATTGCAAAGAAGGACCATATAGAAGAATATCCTCAATAAGATAGGAAGTAGTTTTACTATTTTCTAGTGAATTTTTAGTAGAAGAGAAAGTTCTCAGTCTATGAATTTGCATACACAAATGGGAATGCTTTACTTGTATGGAAAGATACTTAGTCACAAAGGAAGGTTTTGATAGGAATGTCCTTTCCAGGATTTACAACTTCATTATTCTTAGCATTTGCTAGGCTTTTCCCCTTTTTAGGTTAGCGTCTACAGATCTTTATCCAATATACTTTTATGAAGCACTTCTATATATTATGCCCTGATTCAGCTGGTCTTGTAATTTTGAATTAAAAGTTAGCATATTTCCCTACTTGCTGAGCAATTTTATCCATTTAGTTTTGAATGTTTCTCTAGTCTACTTTAAAAAAATGTCTGAATTAGATTTTGGAAGTGGATTCTTCAAAAAAACATGTTTTACTATCTAATTGTATCTCACCACTAATGAATAACAAAGATTTTTAGTTATATAAATACACACATACATATGCGTGTATAAAATCAGCTTTCTTAAATATATCTGTAATATAAGTCAAGAATTTTCTTTCAGAATACAACATGAGAGTGTGGATTAACTTCTTATGAGCCCACAGCTGGACTTATGTAGATATACCACTGGACACATTGTTCATTTTAAATAATCATATGGATTATTGACAGATAAACCATTATATTATGATGATTATTCTCATAGTTGTATAAGGGTGAAAAAATACTTTTTTACTCATCAGGTGACTCAGTACTTTCAAAGTCCACTTAAAATCTGATTTATGGGCTGGTCCCATGGCTTAGTGGTTAAGTTCAGCACACTCTACTTCAGTGGCCAGGCCCAGTTCCCAGGCATGGACCTACACCACTCATCAGTGGCCGTGCTGTGGTGGCAACCCACATACAAAAGAGAGGAAGATTGGCACAGATGTTAGCTCAGGGCAAATCTTCCTCAGCAAAAAAAAAATTAAGCTAGTTTAGCTGACAAAGGAACAAGCCAAATCATGAGTAAGGAAGGAGACCTGGATGTTGTCAACCTTTAAAAAGAGAAAACAGTTTAACAGGCAGAGCATTTATTTGGGATCAAAGAATTGCAATTCAGGGAGCACAGATTCAGGTAGAAACTCAAATGGTGTCCCACTTACAGGTTAAAAGCAAAGGGTTTTTATGAGAAAAGGAAGGGGATAATTACGTGAAAAGAGGAGGAAAAAAGAAAAAAATTTCTATGAGTATTAATAAGCTAAGTTGTCCCTGGCTATACATAACTGATTACTGATCCTATCTTAAAATGAAAAGTCCATCATCTTCAGTCTTGTGATGAAGATGTCCATTTCTCTGCTAACTTCTCAAACAATTAGTTGTACAACAATGGTGGTTTTATCCCAGTCCACAGGTTTGACCTGGTCCAAGGTTCAAGATAGCAAGGCAGTTTCTATGGAAGGGTAGCTCTGACTCCATTTTAAAATGGCTCCACTGAAGCCAAGTTTGACAGTGTGTGTGTATATGTGACGGAGAGGGAGTACCCTGAAGGGCCTTAAGAATAGAATCAGAATCCTCCAGCTTTTTTATTTAATCAAACTATATTTGAATGTGGGATTCTAAGAAGCTACTTTCTTGCCTGTTTTTCTAGAGTATCAGGGACATGAGAAATGGCACGGCAATCACAGAGTTCATCCTCCTAGGCTTTCCTGGTATCCAAGGACTACAAATCCCTCTCTTTATAGTCATCTTTTTCATCTACATATTAACTCTTGCAGGCAATGGGCTTATTATTGCCATTGTCTGGGCTGAGCCCAGCCTACAAATTCCAATGTACTTCTTTCTTTGCAACTTGTCCTTCCTAGAGATCTGGTACACCACTACTGTCATCCCCAAACTGCTGGAAACTTTTGTGGTGGCGAGAACAGCTATCTGCACCCCCTGCTGCCTGCTGCAGGTCTTCTTTCACTTCTTCTTGGGCACCACTGAGTTCTTCATCCTCACTGTCATGTCTTTTGACCGTTACCTGGCCATCTGCAAGCCCCTTCGCTACTCCACCATCATGACCAGCAATCTCTGCCTGCAGCTGGCCCTCAGCTCCTGGATGGTGGGCTTCAGCATTGTCTTTTGTCAGATGCTGCTGCTCATCCAGCTGCCGTTCTGTGGCGACAATATCATCAATCATTTCTACTGTGATGTTGGTCCCATTTTGAAAGCAGCCTGTGCAGACACAAGAATTTTGGAGCTCTTGGGTCTCATAGTAACCATCCTGGTGATCCCAGGGTCACTCATGTTTACTATGATTTCTTATATCTATATCCTGTCCACCATCCTACAGATTCCTTCAGCCACTGGCCGGCAGAAGGCGTTGTCTACCTGCGCCTCTCACCTGACAGTTGTCTCCCTGCTCTATGGAGCTGTTTTGTTCATGTACCTGAGACCCACAGCGCACTCCTCCTTTAAGATTAATAAGGTGGTATCAGTGCTAAATACTATCCTCACACCCCTTCTGAATCCCTTTATTTATACAATTAGAAACAAGGAGGTGAAGAGAGCCCTAAGGAAGGCAATGGCTTGTCCAAACACTCGTCATCCAGAGTAAAACACACAACACATCAAAATGCACTTAATGCAGGTACAAAAATTAAATGTGAGAGAGGATTGTGGAGGAGATAAAGATGTGAAAGTAAACTGTGATGGTCGGGGTCCCCTATAAGAATTTGTTACATATAAATGGAACAGGAGGCCTTCTTGAAGAGGAGAAATGACCTAATTCTCCAATAAGGAAACCCCAGAATCCCTTCAGAGGCATGAGGTAGAACTCTGCACTTTCTCAATTCTAAACTGAAAGTAGAAACCACTACTGTCAGAGACAACTCTCAGTAACTTTTCAAAAAAATGTAAGAAATCCTGCTCCCTCTTTGTTTATAATAACCTCCTTTGCCTCATCTCCTTGTCAAAGGTATAAGGCATCCCACACCTCATTTCCTCAGGACTTATTTTCTTCATAGTTGAAGTCCCCTGAAGTTTCCTAGTCAATTCTAATGGTCTTTCAAAAATTTTTTGGGGGGGTATGGGGGGTGGAGATTAGCCCTGAGCTAACATCTACTGCCAATCCTCCTCTTTTTGCTGAGGAAGACTGGCCCTAAACTAACATCCATGCCCATCTTCATCTAGTTTATATGGGGGACACCTGCCATTGTATGGCTTGACAAGTGGGGCATAGGTCCACACTGGGTATCTGAACTGGTGAATCCTGGGCCAGCGAAGCGGAACATGCAAACTTAACTGCTGCGCCACTGGGCTGGCCCCAAAAATTCTTGAAATGAACCAGGTTTTTGTTTGAGAATGTCTCAATAAGGGGACTTCCATCTTGATATAATACAAATTTTTAGATAAACCTCAAGGTGTTTATTCCCAGATAATACCAAAATTTGAGGACATCATATGAAAATTTCCAATTTGATTATACCAGTTTCTATTTTTCAATCTAGGTAGGCAGTGTGCCTAGGAAACCAACAGCAATCTTACAGCCAATATAAATATGAAGGCTTTCTTGCTGGAAAACTCAGGCCCAAGGTTACATTACGTTCAGGGCTTGCATGTAGGGTTAGTATTTAAGGTCCCTCAAGACAGGTGACAAACCTATTGGTTTAACCGTGTTCTCAGGCACAACATCTGGTAGAAATAGCTTTTAATAGAATGATGACGCAGGTGATTCACAGTTTGTGATAATGACTATTATATATGTCTCTCCTCCATCAGCAAAGAAAGACTACCATTAAAAGCCCATTAAAACTACGACTTTAAAAAAAGGATTATTGCACATTCCTTTTAGTATTAAATGGAAAATTGCAAATGCAAAACAGTGTACCTGATTTTATCTTAGAGATAGAGCCGTTTGGGGGCTGGACAGGGGAATTTGGTCATTTGAAGGCAAAGAGAGAGACCCTAGGGACATGAATATTATCAAGAGCCTTACCATCAAAATAATAGTTTAAATTGTCCCGAATGAGAAAATAAGGATAATACCTAGTGCTCCTCGGAGAAGAAAATGCCAGAGAAAGAAAAGAGAAGAGAAAGAGCCAAAAAGAAGGAATGCAGAAGAAAAGTCTGTGGGAGGAAGCGAGTGGAAATTCTCCAAAGTTGGGGCCACAGTTCCACAATGTTAACCTGTCCTCCCCTCACGCCTTCAGTAAAGTCTCCAACATTACCAAATGCATGTATGATGTCACATGTATTCATGCGTGTGTGTGTGTGTTGTATGTATAAGTCAAGGAAGAATTGAGTTTTACATCTGGAATGATGTGGTTTGACTTAGAGACAGCCCATAAAAATCTCACAGCAATGGCCACAGAATATGCAGAAATTTTAGGAAGAACTTCAGACTTTCATTCACTTGGGTGTGTCTCAGGTAACCCAAATCTAGAGGACTTGGGACATCTGGTTTATATTATTATTTAAAAATATTTTTAAAATCTGCCTTCAAGTTTTATAAACATTAGTTTTCCTGAGTCTAGCCTATTGCCTTAAGAGTTTCCTGTTTGATGGAAGACAGAGGGTAACATAAAACACCTTGACAGATCCTAGAAAGAAGAGAAGAACAAGTGTGAGAGTACTGCCAGGTTTCAATTCATGGAACTCAAAACAGACACCATTTATTCATGCATTTTTCCTGTTTTATTGATGCATTGGTATCATATACCAAGCAACATGCCTGATATTGATTCTGCTGAAAAAAACATATTTTTGTAGTCTGCCACTGAATCAGTTCTAGGAGTTGGAAATACCAGGGTTAGAAAAGCCCGTCCAACAGTGAAGCTTCAACACCTGAACACCAAGAATGAAATGAGTTACAAGAAGACTTCTAGGCAGCCCTGCCTTAGATCCAACTGTCCTTCACCAACACAGGAGCCACCAAGGTCACCAAGGAGAGTGTTGTTTACCTCCAGTGTCTCCAGGAGCTGGAATGCCGTTTTGAGGAAAAGGAGCTCTGGCCACAGAGACAATATGTCAGAATTTGAGACTTCACATTGCACCCTACTGTTTCTTGGGGTTCTAGAGCCCAAATGTCTTTCCAAAGTGTACATATCCCACCTTTCTCCAAGAGAGTAAGAAATTACACAGAGACCCATCCTAACAATATGACAAACAACCTCCTACTCAGATCCCTGGATATTAATTATTTTTCTACTACTGATAATTCTAATGAAGAGGTTGAACTCATGGATAATCTGAGCCAAATCCTTGGCAATGAGCTCTTGAGTTAATTTGTTCCTGAGAATATACTGTGGGGCATCAGAATTTGCCACCCCAAAATGTATCTCTTTGGCTTGATTATTTTTTTTTAGATTGGCCCTAAGCTAACATCTGTTGCCAATCTTCTCTTTTTGCTTGAGGAAGATTGGCCCTAGACTAACATCTGTGCCAATATTCCTCTATTTTGTATGTGGGTCACTGCTACAGCATGGCTTGATGTGTGGTGTAGGTCCGCACCCAGGATCTGAACCCACACCACTGAGGTGGAACATGTGAACTTAACCACTATACCACCAGGATGGTCCTTGGCTTATTTTTAAGAACAAAAGACTCAGAAAGAGACTTTGACCTTTCCTCTACTGCCTAAAAGAATTTAAGATAGAAGGCCTCTTCCAGGAAGGAGCTTTCACCATAGATAACTCTAGGTGTGGTAGGCAGGAAAGCACCTAGCAAGGCCCATTTTATCAAAGTTCCCTCTAGGGTTCCCTTTTAATTATGTCTTTGTTTTCTTTTTTTTTTTTTTTTTTTTGCTTTTTAATCCTTTTTAACATTTGTTTGCAAACATTTGCTTTTCCATCTCCAGGTGAATTGCCTCCTTCCCCTTTGGAGTCCCGAACCACTACCCCCAACATCCTCCTTTGTCTTTAGCTGAAGATGGTATTTTAGGTGGGGCTTTGGCCATTTTTGCAAGTTACTCATTTTTCCTGGGTTCCTCCCATATACATGTGTCATTACATTCATTTGATTTTCTCCTGTTATTCTGTCTCATGTCAAGCTAATTCCTAGACCAGCCAGAAGAACCTAGAGGATAGAGGAATATTCCTCCTCCCCTACAAGACACATTTAAATAAAGCAGTGTTTCCATGATGTGTTTCACAAAATATTAGTTATTAAAAGCAGAGCTCAATATGCAAAGTGGAGGAGATGCAGAGTTAGACAAGGTCAAGCAGGTTCCTTCACTACTGAACTTCTCAGAATCTTTAATGCCATCTTGAAAAAAATTTCCAAATCTCAAAACTTTTGCATATGAAAGATCCTGCTTATATGATCTTGGATATTATTGAGAAATGTGCCTATAATTACTGATGTAAATCAGTGCAATGATCATCCCTAAAGGAGACTTTACAATTCTCTCCTTAACCTATCAAGTGATGGCCTTCAAGATCCTGCCTTATTTGGGCAAAACTTCCTCACTTTATCTTAGATCTAGCCCTTCTCTTACAACTTAGAAAGACTCACTGAAGTCATGTTAGAGTGACACAGCTCTCCCTTACCTGACAAGTAATAAATTCAGCTTTACTTTTTCAGTTTAATGATCTTCCTATGCACTATAAACCCCAAGAGGAGGATACGGTACATGCCTTTCTCAAGCTTATCTAGCTACAGACCATTTTTTCAATGTGCCATAGACTAAAGATTTCCTGCTGTCTTCTTTGAGGCATATCTCTAAACTCATCTCTGTTTTTGTCCAGATCTTATAACTCAATGACATGCACAAATGCCCAACTAACTTGGAGATAAAATTTTTAAAATCCAATACAAGAAAATCTGAAGTACAATACAGAAAAATTTGGAGTAATTATATATTTACCAAAGTATCTAGTGCCTGACCAAGTGGCTTACCACCACTTTGAATTACAAATTCTCCTGGAAAGTTTAAATGACTCCAATTATAAAAATGCCATTTACACATAGCTCTTCCAGAACCAACCACTTCCTATACCAGGTGTTCAGCTAGACTTGGACTGAACCACTAGGAGAGTAGAACTCCTACACACACTTTCAGCTGAGCTCACTCCACTATTATCCCTGCCATTTCTTTGATTTTTGGAAAATAATCTCTCTTTATCCTACGTACAGAAGCAACTATTGTCATAATAATTAGTTCTTTGCTCTTCATGAAATATTGTTAAAAAAAATAACAACCCAGGGCTGGCCCTGTGGCCCAGTGGTTAAGTTCACATGCTCAACTTCAGCGGTCCGGGGTTAGCCAGTTTGGATCCTGGGCATGGACCTATACACTGCTCATCAAGCCATGCTGTGATGGCATCCCACATAGAAGAACTAGAATGACCTACAACTAGGATACACAACTATGTACTTGGGCTTTGTGGAGGAACATGAAAGAAGAAAATTGGCAACAGATGTTAGCTCAGGACCAATCTTCCTCACACACACACACACACAGACAGCTGTTTTTCTAAAAGAAACAGAAAGAACAACCCAATGCCTCCCATATCCACTACTATGGCTTTAGTCCAAGCACTTGACCTACAATAATAGCTCCCTCAATCACCTCTCCACATCCACTTTTGGACCCTTTCATTCTCCTCAGTGGCCAGAGAAGCCAAAAAATGTACATCTAATCATGTCACTTAATTAATGAAAACCCTTTCAAGACTTCCCAATAACTTTAACAGATAAGGCCTAATTTGCTCTATTAGACCCTTGGTCTATCAGATCTGATCCCTGTCCACAATACCAGGCC